CAGCATGTCTGCGGCATGAGGGACTGGAGGTCGGGAGAATGGGAGCCAAACCCGGGAGGAGAGCTTGAGAGAACAGGGGGGCGGGGGGTTCCCTGCATGGGGTCACCTGAGGGCTCCCTCACTCATTCCAGCCCCCCTCCTCGCCTTCAGCCACACCCCCCCTGCTGAGTGACTGGCACCCTCTCCCTGACTGGAGACCCTGGCCGCCTGAACCCGGTGCCCGTAGTCTGCTGTGTAGGGCTTGCTTATTCCGCAAGGGCTCTTTCAATGCTCATACTTAAAATTCCCGACCCTGATTGAAAGGACAGGTCAGCTGGAGTACTGCACAGACGGCTCCGGAGGACTTTGAGTGCCCGCTTCAAGAGCAGCCTCCCTCACCGATGCCCGAGCGCTTGACATCACGCGCGAGGCAGCCAGAACGCCTCTGGCATTGACGCCGCGCCCGCCGTGCCCGCTGGCTCTAAGGCGGATCCCCAGGTGGGGCCGGGGATGTCACAGCAAGCCGGTCTCGGCTCTGCGGGGGAGCCGTTGCTGTGCTGACGGCCGCTGGACTACGGATGGTGGAGGGATGGAGATGCCAAAAAACGGATGATCTCAGCCCTACATCCGGAACTGTCTGCAGGGCAGGATAAGGATTTTGGAAGCCGTGATGATCCATAATAACGAGCGGAGTTTCGACGCCAGGACAAGCATCCGTGTTGATCTAGCGCTGAGCTGTTAGCTAGCCGGCAGGCTAATTTATTTGTTTGCACGTCATGCTGGGCCCCTGCGGGCGTGTGACAGCAGGTCCCCCTTAATCCCCAGTGACAGGGAGGATTTCTGCGGGGTATTTTTTTTTTTACCAATGCGCCAGCGGTGGGACGGGCTCCTAATCTTATCTGATCCTTCATGTTAATCAGACGCTTGTTCTTCAGACACGAGTTGTCCCCAGCTTTTCAGAGACGCCGAAGCTCACGGATGGTGGAACATGCTGGCGGCCTGGAGCTCAGGACGGCCTGTCAAGGTGAACGGCGGAGATTACCGCCAACGCCGAGCCCAGATCTCTATTCATCCCGTCACCCAGAGATCTTGCCGGCCTGAAGATCTTTTCTACCTTGAAAAGGAGAGAATTCCTTTGACATATTTCATACGTTCCTTTGAGCGCCGGATTTCATTCTCTGTTAAATGTTCATATTGCGCCACACAGGACATTATAAATTCGATGGAATGAATTAGCACAAGTCAGACCTTGAAATAACCCATCCGACCCAGTCCCAGCAGCTCAATAGCTCATCAAAGGCACCTGCTGGGGAGTAAATGCAGCGTCAGGTAAATAAGCACATGTCTTCAGTCTGGCTGTAAATCCCGGCAAAGGCACAAACACTCAGCCCACCCCCATCCTTCAGGGGCCGACGTGGGCGAGAGGATCATGTGGGGTCGCGTTGATGATGTAGGATTGATGACCCATCCTCATTGGATGATATTCCATTTAAAAAAAATCACAGATCATCTGCTTACCCCCCCCCAACCCCCCCCCCCCCCCCCCCCCCCCCCCCCACCACCATCGCTTTCAGCTTCTGTAGGATAACGATTCTAAGCTGTCGCTGCTCAGGTGATGAGGAGTCTATCTCCGAGACTGGAGATGTTCGGAGAGGCAGATCATTGGCGAGGCAATGGAGCATGGAGCGGGGGAGGTAAATATTAGCCCTGCCCTCCCCCCGCTCTCCGATAACATGGGAACAGGTGGGATTACGGAGCGGGACACTGGGAATTCCACTCACTGTGGGCGACGAAGCTGACTGGCCGCGTTTCCAAGCAGAGTCACCCAGGGGAGGAACTCGAGGTGTGAATTGTGCTTCTACTCCAGTGTTTGCCAGTCCGGTCCTCGGGGACCTGCAGACGGTCCACGTTTTTGCTCCCTCCCATCGGCCTGAAAAAATGTGGACTGTCTGGCAATTGAAACAGTTTGTTTATTAGAGTGTGTCCAGGGCAGGGAGTGCATATGTGTGAGGGACGTGGGGGCATGTAGCAAAATTGCCTCAAAGCTTTTATCACTTGTGTGACGATCGAGGCAGGAAGAACGACTTGCTTTCAGACAGACCAGCAGCTCGGTCTGACGGCGAAGCAGCGCGTCTGTCTCCCCGTCAGTAAAGATCCCACTTTTCATCAAGGCTCACAGCACGATGCACTTCCATATTTCTCCAATAGTACTTGTATCTTTTTATGCTGTTGAAACACCCAGAAAAGCTCGTTGAAAATCCAGAACAAACAAAAATGGCACCATCACCTGGAAGGAAAATGCCGATTTCGGCGGGAACAAGAGAATGGTTGGGCGATCGCTCTCGGTCCTCATCGGCTCGAGATTTATCGCCTTCTGAGTGCTGCTGATTAAGAACCCATTAGCGTCGATGGGTGTCTCCATTTGCTGTCCGGTCCTTACGTTTCCCGAGATGAAGCGAGGCAGTGTGGCTTGGTTCGGGGGTGTCTGTGTAGACCCAGCTGGACGGCCATTGATGGGGTCGTCTGAAGTCCAAGCGAGAGACCAAGGGGCTGATCCAGCTGCTTTTAATTACTGCTTTTAATTTTGTTAGCAATTAAAGCTCAGATGTGTTACATCCCTTTCAGCCCACGGCTGCAATGCCTGTTTTGTTCCTTATCTGTCCGTGTCTTGTTCTGTTCCAGTCCTGGCTCCGTACGCTAATTGGTGCGATGTGCCGGGGCGGGAGGCGTGCCCCCGACCGCCTGCATATAGGGGGCCTGGGCTGTGTGCCGGGGGGAGAGGGAGCTGCTGTGTTTTTGTTGTATTTTGTTTTGCTGGTTGAAAGTTCACAACGGTTAAATAAACCTTTAGATGCCTTGAACTTGGCCGCTACCTCTCTGCACTCTGTCGCCATTTTCAGTCAATGGTGACAAGATGGGGGCTCGTCCAGGATAATTTTTGTAACACTTTACCGCTCTTGCCGGCGTCCATTGTTCTAGTGGATTAGGCTGTTTAGACGTTTAAGTTTAAAATACCTATACATTTGTGCACGGCCAGGTCCCCGGCTAGACCTTTTGTCTCAGGGGCACTTCGATGTACTGGTGACAGATGCAGACGATGATGAGGATGCTGGTTCAACCTCTGACCTCTGAGTGCTGCCAAAGAGACACTTCAGTCTCAGTGTCAATGAACTGATGCCCTGTCCGCTACCAGCTGCTTCTCTTCAGCTCCAGTACTGATTTTGTCCATTAGGGGGCGAGGGGAGTCAAAACCAAGTCAGCTTCAGGTCTGAAATATTCGGGCGGCTCCTTGTCATGGCGTTCCACCAGTCACATGTGACAGACCAGCTAAAATGACTCCTGGGTCCCAATACAAGGTGACATTTTCATCTACGTCCATCCCCCTGTTTACGAGAGAAAAAGCACCGCACATGTGAACGCCTCCATCGGCATGGTGACGGCTTTGCGACATTTCGGAAACCTGTTATTTGGAAATTAAAGGGAGGTCGCGATCTGCTGTTCCAGTCTTATTAAATGAGCAGATGAGATGTAAATAAAACCTCATCAGCGTCACGGCACATCAGAGAAATCAGCCTCTGATCTCTGATTCAAATTCCTCAGCCCACCATCTTAGAATAAAGAAAATTCGTTATTCATTCAGTGTTAATCAGAAATGCTCTCTTTACCCTTCTGATACCATAATAACTGTAAAACTTCCACCCTCACATTTCACACCTTGCAATATGTGTCGTTACCTGTAAACATAAGGTGGGAACGAGACAAGACTTAATCCCCCCTCTGCTTCCTTTGAACGTGACCAGAGATAAAATTCTGTTATTTACGCTGATAATCCTGTGTCTTCAGATGTCATATTTTGATAGTCCTCATTTAAAGTTTGCTTATTGGACAGCAAAAATTTCTCCCACCAGTAACTAACCCTTACATGGATCATCCTGTGGAGATAAAGATTTTCTTTTTTTTTTTTAGCAGAGACATTTAGCTCAAGGGTATAGCCATTAAAATGTCATTACTACAGCGCAGGAATCATCTTTAAAAAGCACAGATCCCGAGGCTCTGTTGTTTAATGGGGTCAATATGCATCCCCCATGCAGCGAACAGCCCTAATGTTGTGGAACACCAGCGCTAATCTTTCTGTAAATATCTCCAAATTGCCGGCGTGTATTACCGTAATGGCGTGCATGTTTATGCTACGAGGGCCGCAGTGGAAATGAAGTTTCGACTGTAACACGGCCTGACATCTAAGCTCCGCCTTCTAGCCGATACATTGACTACTAAACAAACTGGTTACTAATGACGTACCCTAGCTGGCAACTCCTTGCATTGCCCACAGGTTGATACCTTTTTCACAGAAGCACTGCGGCTAAAGTGGCTTGCACCCGCGACCCTGAGAGCTGAGCCCTAACCCCACAACCTACCTGGCGCCCGTTTAACTTCACCAGCCTGGAAATACTGAGATCTCGAGGTTTAACGTGTTAACCCACAGCGGCCTGAGCGCCGAGCAATAATGTCTTCGCCTGACCCATGAGTCATACCTGCCCCCCCCCCCCCAGATGAGGTCACTTTGAGGCAGCTAACCCCACCGTCTGGAAAGCTTTCTGAACATCTCTCAAGCGGCCCACGGGGGGGTACTGAGATGATTCTGTGGTGGGTCACCTTCGCCCTCCCTAATGCCAGGGGCCAGTAACAGAGGGCATGGAGGGGGGGCTTGGGGTGTGTCAAGCTCTCACATTAGCCTCCACTGTATTCTACTCCCCCCTCCCCCCCCTGCCCAGCATTGCCAGACAGGACCCCCGTCATGAGTCAGCTTTTGCAAATGGTTTTGACCTTTCCAAACAGTGAAGATGTCGGGGGGGTCGGTAATCAACCGCAGGCAGCAGGGGTCTGTAGACACTAATGGATATTGGCTGGGGGGGGTCATGTGCGTGAGGATGGGGAGTTTGCACTGGATGGAGGCCTGTCTTTCTTGGGAGGGTCCCAGCACAGAGTGACAGCTGCCACCGTTGCCTGTGTCCCCATTGCAGGAGCGTGGAAAGATCGGCGTGATCTTCAACGTGGGCACGGACGACATCACCATCGACGAGCACGCCGTCACGGTGAGCGACGGCAAGTACCATGTGGTGCGTTTCACCCGCAGCGGCGGCAACGCCACACTCCAGGTGGACAACCAGCCCGTCATCGAGCGCTACCCGTCAGGTAGGCCCTCGGGGGCGAGGCCTGGGGGGCGGGGCCTTTAGGGAGGCAGGAGCCTGGGGTGGGGTGTGGGGAGGGAGGGGCTGAGTGCTCATGAATCCCCAGAGTGTGCAGATGGACACGGCGAGAGCACAAGCCCAAAGAAATGTCACCGAGACCCAGACGCGAGTGGCAGGCACGTGGCCCTCGGCTCAGTCGCCAAGCGTGGAAATCCCGCTGGGTCAATCCGGCGTCAGATTCCCGGCAGAGCTGACACAGATCGGCGCCTTTTTCCACGGAGGAAATTGATTTATATTCCATTCCGGGCTGGTCGTGTGAGCAAGCCGGGCATCCGGAGAGTTCTGCACATGGAGGACGCTGATAAACTTCTGGCGAAGAGTCTCATATCTTTAATTGACAAGTTCCCCCCCCCCCACACACACACACACACACACCCCCAGCCGCATCGCCGCATGCATCTTGCTGCCGATGGATTTGAATTTAACCAGAGGCAGGTGGTTCGCTGGGGGGTTGGGAGAGGAGGTGGATCATTTCCCCAAAATGTTACCGTAGTCCACTACTGTGACCCAGACGCTCACCAGTATATCTCGAACATACCAGTTAGCTCACTGCAGTGTGGGTGGCGTGGGAGCTTCTGGAATATTCCAGCCCCGGCCATACCTCGTCCTCCTCACCTATGCAGCGCTTCCCCACGGCGCCCCTACGGCGCCCCCACAGAGCTCTGTCTCTAAACCCAGGTCCCTCTTGCGTATCGACCTCCCCGATTCACCCCTCTAACAGACAGCAGCCAAAGATCCCGGGCTTAGGATGCAGCTCCGTAGCTATTTTTACAGTTCAGGCTCCTCGCCGTCAAAATGTCTGAGTCTCAGGGGCCTTGTGATTGGCTGATGAAATCAGAGAAAAGCTCTCGCCTGCCATCGCACACCTGGGGACCTGGCGCACTCCGGGTTCAGCCTCTCGGAGGAAGACATTTTCCACGTCCACAGTGCCCACGATGTAGGCTCGCATTTCTGTCCGCTTTCTCTTTCATCACACCCAGCTTGTTCGAAGCTATTTCATTGCTTAGCTTATGGATGTTCCCCTGGGCCTGGATCGACCGCGATAAATCCCTCACTGCAAGTCGAAACCCGAGATTCGATTACCCAGTATCGGATGTTTCCCAGTATCCAACACTTCCTGGTATCGGATGTCTCGGTGCTGGACCGTTCGCGCCGGGGCAGGGCCCGCCTGGCGGTCTTAGTGGAAGCCGCGGTGCCGTGCGAGTGCTAACGGTCTCACCAGAGCTGCCCCCCCCCCCGACGTCTGTCTAAAACACCAGAGCAGCAGTGCTGCCGATGCCCCATTCAGCGTTGCTTTAAGGGCAGGGAGGGGCTCCCACTCTGATGTACCGCAGTCGCACCCCCGCTGTGCCGTGTGACTCGTCCGTGGGACCCGTTATCGGATCTAAACGCGGCCCCGTTTGCCGCGGGACTGCCGCGCTCGTCTCCACCGCTCTCGCTAATACTATTTGTCAAGCTGTTCCTCCCACACCTTCGTCTCCTTTGTCAAGGCGCTAAAACAGCCATTTGTGTTGTGCCAATTTGCCGGCTCGCATCGGGACAGCCGGGCTCTGACGGTGACACATTCGTCACGGGGATAATGATGGGGGAAACAGCGGGATAATGCGTAACGCCGTGTCACCCCGGCTCTACGACTCCATCTGCGGCTCTGGATGTCGCGTGAGCGCCCCCTGTGGCCGGCCCTGGGCTCCACCTTCCGCAAGGCTGCCAGCGGTGATTCCTTGGGCCGTCGTTTCTTCTTCTGGGAATTTATTTCAGCTGTGCGTTTATTTTTACACACGCTGCTAAGTGTCTCGCGTTTCACACAGACAGAGATGCATCAGGGTAACACCAGAGGAGAGCAGAGAGTTGGAATGCCGTCCGGATCGAAGTGTGTAGCGGATCCGGCCTGTGAAGACGGTGTAGAGCCAGATCCGGCCTGTGAAGACGGTGTAGAGCAGGGAGGGGTTTTACCCGCTTCAGCCTCAGGATCCATGCTTGTCCCTGGTCACTGAGTCACTCAACTAAATTGTGAACCAAATTTTTTTTGCAAAAATACTGCAGTAAATAGTACTAGTAGCACAATGCCGTCGTGCATTTTTAGAAAACAAAATAAGTCGAACGTTAGAAAAAATTTTAAAGATATATTTTTCCCCGCATTCCATGACCCAGTGAAAATGGTCCCCCTACCCATCTTTGGGTCACGACCCAGTAGTTGAGAAACTGGACGTGCCATGGGGGCTGGGGTGGAAGAAGGTGGGGGTTTTTTTGAGGGGGGAGGGTGGACAAGGCTGCGCTGAAAAGAATAGCTGAACTGAAGTGTGGGATTGGCCAGTAAAGGAACCGGAAATGCGGCGAGAGGAATCGACACGCATCATTGGCTAGTTGAGATGGCTGGCTCTACGGGACGGATGCTTGGGGCTGCCAGGCTGCATCAGTGTGACCAGGATGACAAGGCAGGGGGGGCTTTGAATTGGGAGAACTGGGTGAACTGGGTGAACGACCAGTGCAGTGGTTGGATGTGCCTAAAACAATGACCTGCTAACTTCGGTCTCCCTGATCCGCGTTACAGCTCCCTGCCCCCCAGCAGGGCGGGACACAGAAGCGAGCCCTGCCAGGCTGCCCAGTGCTCTGTGATGGTGGGGGGGGGGGTTATATGTGGAAGCAGGGCCTCCTGAAAATTGAAATATTTTCTTTCCTGCGCTTTGAATTTCCATGCACAGGCGAACCTCAGCCCTGATCGATAGCAAGCGTCTTCAAGCGCCATCAATTCCAACAAGCAAAGCAGAGCAGCCGAGACTCCCCTGGGGGGGGGGGGGGGGGTAATGGGGCGCCTTATCGGCGTCCTGCAGGTGATTTCGGCCGTCTGAAGAGGCGCCGGTCCACAGAGACGGCAGTCCAGTGCCTCCAGCTGTGAGGCACTGGAGCCATTTCACTGCCCCCGCCCTGCTGACTCTCCTGCTGCATGTCTCTGCGCTGTGGGATCCCCCATTTCCCTTCTGGGGGGGGGGGGGGGGGGGAGGCATTAGAGATGGCACGGACTCCGCAGGTCAGGCAGCGCGATGCCAAGTCGCAGCTTACGCTGGAGCGTCCCGTTCCGTCCGAAAGGGCCGGCTGCACAATTTCACACTGATTGGACCAAAAGGTTGCGATTGATAAAAGCTTCCGGCACAGAAAACGAAACGTAAATGATGACATCAGCGGAGTGTGGTCGTCTTTGTGGAAGAGGGGGGCGGTGGCAAACCTGGATTTTTCTTCCTTTTCGTTACGGGGACAGTTTGACTTCGCAGCGGTGTTTCTCAGGTGAGGGCCGGCCTCCCGGGAGTGCCCCCCCCCCCCCCTTCACAGACACGGCAGGTAATGAAACGGCCTTTAATAGATTTGGGGATCTACTTGGGGAAGCTGGCTGTGTCCCCTTCTGCCTAATAAAGCCACCAAACCCCGTCTGTAACAGCCGTACGGAGAGATCCTGTGAATTAAAGGGTATGCACCGCGACAGGCGGAGCCCGCGCCGTGATTTATATCCCCCCTCCCCCACACACACACACCCACCTGCTTGGACTCAGCTGTAGTTTATGATCAGGCAGCGACACTTGACGTGTCATTCCGGAACCTTCCGCGATTCTCACTCGCTTTTTTATGACCGCGGATGTCGACCCAAGCATGCGACCCAAGCATGCGACCCAAGCATGCGACATCGTTCAGCTGTAAGTTTATCGTAAAGCTGACCCCCCCCCCCTCATTACTTTACTAGAAGCTGCTCTTTTTTATTTTTCCATTCCTATGACCTCTAAGAGAACCACAAGAAATTCGGTGTAAAAAAAATCGCACTGCTCCTTCTGGCCTGCGGGGGCACAAATGCGCCCACTGCTTATCGCTCTCTCCCCCCCTGCAGCTGTTTCCAGGCCTCTGCCCCCCCCCCCAAAGACACATACAAACACACTCACACACACACACACTGTGGCTGTGAAAACCTCGCGTCTCTTAGGGTGTGAAAGCTTGCGGACTCGGCATGCAGCTGGAAGGCCACCTTTCTCACATTCTCCTCTCGAGCTTTGACGGCACGTCCTGTCGGTGATGAGAGCCCCTCCCTGGATCCCCCATCTAAAAATCTCCGCCCCGTGACAGCCTGCACACACTGCTGGCTCCCCGCCCTCGCCCGCGTCTTCCTCGGGGCGTAGGTGAAGAAGCCACAGCTAAAGAGATCCTCCATCTGCTCTTCTGGAGAGTTTCCACTCCGAAATGTCGCCTCCAGGTCTCTGCCCCCATCCTGAAGTCCGCCCCAGGTACCTCCTGCCTGGCTCAGACTCAGGCTCCTCTTTGCGTTCCTCCCTGGCCTGAAAGGTGGCGCTGTGGCTCAGCGATTAGCACAATGGCCTCCCCCCTCCGAGGCTGCCGGTTTGAGGCTTGTGTTTCCGGCATTTTCCTCTGCTCCCTCTCATTCACGGAGCTTGTTTTTCCTATTTACCTTTTATTTAACAGACACTTTTATCCAAGCGGTGTACGATTCTGAAAAAGGATCAAGCAGAGACAGCCGATGCCAGAAGCAGGTGTGGGTCACGGGCCTCGCTCAGAGGTCCAAAGCTTAAATCAGTCTTCTGATCCTGGGATTTGAACCAATGACCTTCTGATCACAAACACTAGCATGCTGAGCCGCACACCACCCTGGGCAGTGCGGTGCAGGGCGTGTGTGAGCCCTGTGATAGACTGGCACCCCAGGCAGGGGGGGGGGCCCCTCCCCACAGCCTGAGTCCGCAGCAGGCCTGAGCAACGCCGGTGAGGACAGCGGCTGCTCTCACTACCCTAGTTTGCCTCACAAAGGCCAGTGTTTGCCTGTGGATGGAAAAAGCAGAGGGCTGGGCTGGGGGGGGGGGGATTGAGCGACACAGGAGGTGGGGTTGAGAGGCAAAGAGAGCATGCTGGGAAATCAGCCCCCGTATTTGCTATGGTGTTCCGACAAATCTCTTTAGCTGCGGGAAAAAGCCCCCACTTGTTCTAGGCCAGGTTTAGTTCCGCTCCTCCAGTGGGTCGCAGGGGGGCAACCCTGGGCTGGGGGGGGCTAAAAATTAATCACGCTGTTATTTTGCCCAATCGGTGCGTATCGCCAAATCCCCCCGCCATGCGCAAAAGGAATTAGCCTCCACCTGTGAGGTTCCCCTGGGTCCGGGTACGAGGTTCAGCTGTAATAAACACCCCCCCCCCACGCCCCCACGCCCCTCCCTTCAGGAGACGTTTATTCCCAGCCGTGCGAGGGAGACAAAGCGATTGCATAATGCGGCTCCGGCGGCTGCCGTGCATGCGGCACACGGGCGGTTAGGCGCTCATTACGCCTGTTTGGGGGTCTAGCCAGCCCCCGGTAACCCTGGGAGACCGGCCCGCTTCTGCTGGGATGTCGTCTGCATCCTGCCTATGAACTGATCACAGGAAACGGGCCTCGCTTCTGCATGTTATATAAGACGAGTCAAGGGCACAGAAGTAATGGAATTTCAAATAGAAAGCAGCAGTATAATGTACTGTAGTTTTTTTTTTCCCCAGACGTATAGTTGTGTCCTGGGGCGGCATGGGGGCTCAGGGGGGGGCTCTGTTGTTCCTTGCCTCCAGTGTTGGAGGTTGGAATCACACCGCCCATGTTGGTTTCTAATCCCAGTGCAGAGACATGCAGTCAGGCTAATTGGTGTCTCTAAACTGGCCATGGGGCAGCACGGATGTATGTGGAAGTGTGGCGGCCAGTGACAGGCTGGCATCAGGCCCTGGGTGTCGCCCAACCCGGTGCCCTGTGCTTCGGGGGTTAGGGTCCCAGTGACCCTGCTTATACAAGCCCTGCGTGTTTGACGGCCCCAATCAGCACGCTCAAAACAGCCCACCCACTACACACGGCTTCCAGCACTTTCTGATTCATGCAGCGTCACTTCAAGTTCCTGTGATGTCACATCTACCCTCCCCTTTTTAATATGAAACTCCCATTAAATCGGTCACCAATCACCCCCCGATGCTATCTGTCATTATTTTGTCGAGATCATTTTGGCAGTAATCACATAGGCTGACCACGGGGAGTTTAGCAGCCATGGACGAGATTTACTCCCTGTATTTATTTGTGACATTTCCCCATGCAGCTGTGTGTGCAGGCGCAGTCAGTCAGCAGCACTCAACTTATTTCCTGGTCTTGCTGCATTAATGGGGATTACAGGTGAGGGGCTTTTCCTGCCTCTTCCTGCCTGTTTCTGCCTCTTCCTGCCTGCTCCTACCTCCTCCTACTTCTTCCTGCCTCTTTCTGCCACTTCCTACCTCTTCCTGCCTCTTCCTGTCTGCTCCTACCTCTTCCTACCTTTTCCTGTCTGCTCCTACCTCTGTCCTGCCTCTTCCTACCTTTTCCTGCCTCTTCTTGCCTGTTTCTGCCTCTTCCTGTCTGCTCCTACCTCTTCCTACCTTTTCCTGTCTGCTCCTACCTCTATCCTGCCTCTATCCTGCCTCTTCCTACCACTTCCTACCTGTTTCGGCCTGTTCCTGCTACTCCCTCAGTCCTGATGTTGCTGGAGAGAGTTGCCGTGTGCCTCTCCATTCCTGCGTCCTCTCAGCATCTGGTACTGGCGCAGCCTGCGTTCCCCAACTGCTTTCCCCGCCTGCATTACCCACCTCCATCCTCCGCCTGCGTTCCCCTCTGCATTCCCCACCTGCCGCCTGCACACACCAGTGTGGCATGACTCCTCAAGGCAAAAAAATAAAGAAATAATTACATGCAGTGATAGATTTAATGCCATCAGCGTGATCCGGGTGCTGACTCCCTGATACGCCGCGTTATGTTTTCACTTTTTCATTACTCCTCACCACCCCCAGAGCTTACTCTTGGATATTCCAATTGCTGCCAGTAGGGGCAGCACTTGTGTCGTTACTCACATGATCAGACGGAAGGTCCATCCCCCTCATTCGTTGTCATCGGGTCATTCCTGCATAGTGCTGAAGCCGCCTGGAATTGTCCTCCATTCCCGCCTCTACATCAGGCGCGTGCAGAGATGCAAATGGACACCGCCCACCCTTGCCTTTTACCCAGCATGCACTGACCCTGCACCCTGTCCTTTGCTAAATTTGGGTTAGAAAATTAGCAAACCGTGTGACGGTCATGCCCCTCACTACTCTCACTGCCCCTCGCTACTCTCACTGCCCCTCTCTACTCTCACTGCCCCTCGCTACTCTCACTGTCCCTCGCTACTCTCACTGACCCTCGCTACTCTTACTGCCCCTCGCTACTGTCACTGCCCCTCGCTACTCTCACTGCCCCTCGCTACTCTCACTGCCCCTCGCTACTCTTACTGCCCCTCGCTACTCTCACAACCCCTCGCTACTCTCACAGCCCCTCGCTACTCTCACTGTCCCTCGCAACTCTCACTGCCCCTCGCTACTCTCACTGTCCCTCGCTACTCTCACTGCCCCTCGCTACTCTTACTGCCCCTCGCTACTGTCACAACCCCTCGCTACTCTCACAGCCCCTCGCTACTCTCACTGCCCCTCGCTACTCTCACTGTCCCTCGCTACTCTTACTGCCCCTCGCTACTGTCACAACCCCTCGCTACTCTCACTGCCCCTCTCTACTCTCACTGCCCCTCTCTCTTTTAGCTCAGCTAACAGTTCCAGGTTCCTCTACTCACATATTTAGGTGCTGGATCATGATCAATCGCTGCCTTTTTACAACCTCCTCTATCACACACACACACATACACACACACAGTCACAATCACATACACACACACACAAATACACACAGTCACAATCACACACATACACAGACACAAATACACAAACACACACACATACACATGCATACACACACACATACACTCATAGACACACACATGCACACACAGACACAATCATATATATAAATACATACACATACATGTATACACACACGCATATACACACACGCCTATATACTCCCACATGTACACAGACACACACACACATGCATAGACACACAAACATACACTCTCTCACACACATACACATGCATAGACACACAAACATACACTCTCACAAACACGTACAGACACACACAGATTTCTCAGTTGTTGCGGCCATGGTGTCTGTCTTTCGGTGTGACCCAGTGTCTCTCTGGGTGAGGTTCTACACCCCCCAGCCCCCCCGTGCCCCCCTCAGAGCGCGGGCCAGCCACAGTGGGGCTGTTAAACATGCCCAGCTGAACCCCCAAGAGATTGTGGCTACAGCAACAAGCCAGGTCATATTGAGCTCTGCAGTGCATTGTGGGAGGAATAAGAATGAGGAGAGGGAGGCTGTCACCGCGGTGGTGATGTGCTTCTGTTTTGGGTGTCCTTCATGAATGAGGCATTCAGGTCGTGATGATGGCCTGTGACAGAAAGTTGCCATCGTGGCCTCGATGGATTCCCCGGCACATCTGTTACGCGGAAACCGTCCGGCTCGTGTCCTGTTTCATTTCGTTTGCCGACCCCTGGCCTCCGTGTCCCCCGTCCTGACAGATTGGTGACAGACCTCGTCAGCTGAGGTGTGGCGAAACAGAAAGCGTTAAATCAGCCACCGGCCTCGGCCTTGGACGTGCCATCAGCCCAAAGGTCCTATTTGTGGGCTCAGTGTGAAAATGTCTTCCTGCCTTTCAAACTGTGAAAATATGCATTTTGTGTGTGAATTATACACTTCCATTATGCATTGTTGCCCTTTTGGAAATGAGTACTGTTACTAATAATACTGCACTGTTTGGTATAGATGCTTTTAGGTTTTTCTTCATGTCCTGATGTGTACTGTTAGAATCTGTGTCAGTTTCACTGAAATCAGTTGTGTTTTAATAACCGAAACATAGTTTATAGTAAATATGCTGTTTATAAATTATTCTAAATATTTTAACTCGCCATTAAAAAACAACTAAATAACATGGTAACTAGTTTGCTGTTAACTTTCTAACCATTAAATCAGCAACAGGACAATAAATGAGAAAAAAATACAGTTCTCCTACAAGCTAAAGCTGATTTAAAGTACCTAATCTGCTAAACGTTGACATGTTTTTTATAACCTTGTAACCTTTGACCTTCCAGATTTTAACCTGCTGAATCTGTCTCTCTAAATTCTTTAAAGGGAGCTTTGATAATGAGCGCCTGGCTATTGCCAGACAAAGAATCCCGTACAGACTTGGTCGGGTAGTTGACGAGTGGCTACTCGACAAAGGTAATAAAAACCAATTAATTAACTAATCAATGATTTAACCAGCTGCTTAAGTCACCAGGTCTCTGTAAGAGGTGCAGTGCCCTATAGCGATGTAGGAAGTGCTCTGATTGGCTTTTGCCTGTTCCCCTCAATCAATATGCCCCACCCATTTGACCAAAAAAGGCGTCTACTCTGACACCTTATAAGGCGAAAGATGAAAGCTAATATTAACTGTAACTCCTTCACATATCCAGTTTGACAAGAAATACATTCACCATTCATTTGTACTGCAACGTGCACAAAAAACATGTATTTTTTTTTTAAATATACATATTTTTAACATTTCCTAATGATGTATGGCCGAAAAATTGCAGTGACAACACATTTTCAGTACTCATCCAATTCAATTACGGCGCAAACATTGAGGGCGGCGTTAGTCTGTTATCTGAGCACACACACGATCGGGAGATGCACTAATTACCCATGTAAGATGGGCAGAGCTGTGATATCAGACCCTGCAACGTGAAATTGAGCGCAAGTCCAGCACAAAGGGGAAGGCATGAAACTGGTCTCTCTCGCGTGACAGTCCCGATGGGGCGGATTCTGCCGGGTGCACTTCCTTTAACAGGGAACGCCGCGACACGCCCAGTCACAAACCAACGGGAGCGAGGCTTTGACAGGCCGAAAACTGGCACTGCGCCTCTTCAGAGCTTTAAACTTAACTAAACCAGACACTAGAGTCGTGTAAAATCTGCTAACCACATCCCTCTGAATAACTGTACGGCACTGATTGGGGTTCATTCTGATTTTGTCCCTGTGTCCTGTGTCCTTTTCGACTGTGGATCCCTCTAAATCAGCGTTTCCCAACCCGGCCCTCGGGGGCCACCAGGCGGTCTACTTTGGGAGATGGGAGGGAGCAAAAACGTAGACCGGCTGGGGGTCCCCTAGACCGTGTTGGCAAACACTACTCTAAATATACTTTTAAACACAATAAAAAGACTACTGCAAAACAAAAAAAGATCATATAAATAATTAACCTATGAAAAGTCTTTAAAAGTTAAAGGGACTGATTTTCTGTGATTGAGGATTTGTACCACCCACCAATCTGCAGGATTTTCTGGTGGTGGGATTTGACCCAATTTAAACGACTGAAACGTCGTCCATCTTTAACCCTTTGAGTATTAAACATACCTGCCGCTTGTATTTGTCTGTGTTTGGCCTGCTGAAGGTGGTTAAACTTGCTCTATTTCCAGTCTTAATCCTCCTTTCCTGCTTCCATTTTGGTGTTTATTTTGCTATATTCTTGTTTATAAAATTTAAATAAATTTCAAATTCAAATTTATCGGCGACACTACTTTGGAAAACAAGTCAAGGCGATGCGTACATGCCGTTAACTTCTTCCGCAACAAAATGAAACGACATAAAATTATGTATTTTTTTTTTTTGCAGAACATCTTCCCCATAAAAGATGAGTAGAGCACAATTTAAAAAGAAAAAATTCCCAGCTTCTTTTTTTTTTTTTTTTTTTTGCAGAACATCTTCCCCATAAAAGATGAGTAGAGCACAATTTAAAAAGAAAAAATTCCCAGCTTCTCCAGTACAAAAACCACCTCTGACGAGCCACGTTAAAGAATTTTACAGTGCACCACTTTCCACAATGAAATCCTTGGGCAAAGTATGCCTGTCATTCCATGCAGGGATTATGGGAAAAAAGCAGTATTGGTCATAGATAAAGGAACCATGGGTGGAAAAAAAAGAAGGTCAAGACTAGGCTAGGCACAGTTAAACTGTGAAACGACAGCTTTGCGTGATCACTCACACAGTCTGCAAGCTGAATTGCGACAGCTGCTCCGTGTACCGTCATTTGAATAACATATTTTGTTGTCAAAGTGATAGTGAAATTATATGCAGGAACACGCAACGCGAGTAACTTCTGCCAAGAAAGCACGACCTACGAGTGAAAGGGAAACACGGAAAGGAAGTGGAATTTTTTTACTCAAAGGGTTAAAGTTAAACCAGTAGATAAAGGCAGAACTAAATAAGCCAGCAGAATTTAACCACCTAACAGCAAAACAAACCCACGTCCAAACCGCTGAGGGCTTTTAAAAATCGAAACCTCATTCGTAGAGCCGCCGAGGTGCTTTGAGGCTGGGAGGAGAAGTTGAGGTTCTTTGGTGGAAGTTCTTAGTCGTGACGATGAACACGGCTGTCACTAGTGAATTCGCAGAGGCCAGCCCTTCTGAATCTCCCTGTAGGGCTTGTATACACATCTGTATAAAATCCCTAACAGAAAAAAACAGGCTGTTGGACTAAAACAGCCTTAAACTCAGCCCCTGTTACATTAGCCTACTGTGGCTGCTCTGATGATAATAGGAATTCCTTTAATGGGGGAAATCGTCCGAAAGCAATGGGCAAACATCTTTTGTTGAGTGTGTCACACAGCCCTTTTGGCCTTAGAGCGCCCCCTAATGCAGGTAGCCCTGCCACTGCACGCTGGATCCTGCAGGAGGCGTCGCAGAGCAAGGGTCTGCTGCTAGCGTTTAGCATGGACGCGGAGCAGAGCCATTTGTAAGGGAGTAACATGCCGTGGTCGGCTGGTCTGCAGTATTAGGCTACAGGGCATGGGCGTGGTTAGCTCCGAACACCTCGGGGCGATAGGTCCTAACACCTCGGGGCGATAGGTCCGAACACCTCGGGGCGATAGGTCCGAACACCTCGGGGCGATAGGTCTTAACACCTCGGGGCGATAGCTCCGAACACCTCAAGGCGATAGGTCCTAACACCTCGGGGCGATAGCTCCGAACACCTAGGGGCATTAGCTCCGAACACCTCGGGGCGATAGCTCCGAACACCTCGGGGCATTAGCTCCGAACACCTCGGGGCGATAGGTCCTAACACCTCGGGGCATTAGCTCCGAACACCTCGGGGCGATAGCCCAGAGTGTTTTAGCCCTTAACACAAAAAAAACAGTCAATCCCCAGGTAATCAAATAATCATGACTTAACCCCAGATCTTTTCAATAGCCTGAAATGCCCCTGCTACTGCGGCAGACCTTGGCTTCTTGTTCTGACACTCTACTCTACCCTCGAATCGTGATAACAATCCTATAATCACACCAATAATCAATAACACATTTTTCAGCCTGCAGTCTTTACCTGCACGTCGGTGCAATGAGCTAAAAACATGAGGGAGCAACAAGCAGCTTTCCGTAAGACGCCTTGCAGTGGTTCTTCCTCGAGCCGAGCTGGTGAGGCACCTGCCAGCTGGCCACTTTGCCCCAGAAACCGAGTGTGGGCACTCCCAGCCTCCTCGCCGCCGCACCCGGCCCTCCAGCGTGTAAACAACATCTCCAGAATAGCAGTTTAGCATCACTAGCCTCAACGAGCCTCAACTTCTACCCACTGTCCGCACAAAAACATCCCCGCTAACCGAAACCCTGCTGTAACTGCTAATAATTTCCCCAGTTTTTGAAAACATAAAGATAATTAGGCTGAATAAACACACTGATAAACAGTCAGCGCTAAACGAATTATAACCTTGAGGAAGCCGGTCCAGTATGTCCCACCAGACAAATGTAAAAACTCAGAGGGTTAAAAAAAAAAAGTTTTTTTGCCTGAAAAATGAGCTGTGCTGATTAAAATGCAAACAGCGAATCTAAATTGCACCTAAATATGGTTTCTGCTCCTTTGACACTGTTGGTGACTAATGATTTAATTTAACAATGAAAATTGGGAAACAATTAAGAGACCAAGGTCCCTTTAACATTTACTGTTTCATCTCCTGATTCTGAATGTGTGTGTCTGTGTGTCTGTGTGTGTGTGTCTGTGTGTGTGTGTGTCTGTGTGTGTGTGTGTCTGTGTCTGTGTGTCTGTCTGTGTGTGTGCGTGTGTGTGTCTGTG